CCACTGTATGTTATTTATACTTGAATAAATAAATTTAAAAATAAATAATTAAAAAGAAAGAATGGGCCTAACTTTTCCTTCTGTGCAGGGAGACCCTTTCTGGATACGAGTAATGGCTAATAGTCATTGAGTGGCTCTGTGTCCCAGCCGTTGCTGCAAACATGCTAAGTATATTAATTCATTTAATTATTACAACAACTCGATGAGGCAGTTGCTTTTATTATCATCTCCATTTTAAAGACGAGGAAGCTAAGGAGCAGAGAGATTAGGAACTTGCTTATGGATACACAGATTTGGCATCAAAACCAGGCAGAGTCTAGAGCCAGCTCCGTCATCTATCACACGATCTGCCCCTATTTTATTAGAAGGGAGTACAGGATCTTAAAATAAGAACATATGAAAAACAATGGGTATGTTGCAGAGAGCAAATTATGGAACTACAAGTAATTTCATTTGATTGGAGCATAGGATGAATGTGCGCCAATGAGACCATTCACGTTCGAGGGGAATCCATAACGTTTGCATTGGCTGTAGACAAGTAGGGACGTGGTGTGTGGAGAATATGAACAGGACTGGACAGGACTAAAGCCATTTTCAATAGTCACGGTCCTGGCAATAATTACATTTGAGATGTGACTATAACGTCATAAGATACTTTATTCTTTAGCACATGTATTATATGAGTGTGGTCCCTTTCCAGTCCATCATCGTGGGAAGCTGTCCTTTATTTCTGCCGAGTTCCCATTGCTCAGAGCATGTTGGGATGTCTCTTCTAAATTATATTCAGAAGAAGACACAGTGCATTTTATTATCTTAGGGCCACGTGTCCTGTTTGTCTCAAATGTATTTCCTAATTGGATCACTTCCTTTTCCCTGAATTTGGCTCTGAGTACCTTCTGCCTGTTTGTTGAAATAACACCCACTCTCAACTCAAAAAACAAATATATGGATTCTATAAACTGATGACTGGCTTGAGGGTATGCTTCAGCATTGTTTAGGGGGCTTAATCAAATAACACATCGCAGCTCCCACGTCTCAGTAGTTCTGGTTCAGTTGGTCTGAGGTACGGATCAGGAATCTGTAATCTTTAACAAGCCTCCTGAAGTTTCTGTTTCGAATGACCAGACCACACTTTGAGAAAGGCAGCTGTGAGGATATCTAAGAGAAAGGTAGGAAGTCTAAGTTGCAGAAGAGGAATTCCAAAAGTGTTACCATCAACAGTGACCTTGGGGCGCCTGGGTGGCTTAGTCGATTAAGCATCCGACTTTCGCTTAGGTCATGGGTTAGATCTTGCGGTTCGTGGGTTCGAGCCCCGCGTCGGGCTCTGTGCTGACTGCCAGCTCAGAGCCTGGAGCCTGTTTCAGAGTCTGGGACTCCCTCTCTCTCTGACCCTCCCCTGCTCACGCTGTCTCCCTCTCTCTCTCCTAGGAATAAATAAAAATATTAAAAACAACAACAAAAAAACAAAAACAGTGACCTTGACAGCAAGTACTGCCCAGCTTGGGGGACTGTTCTCCCATAGATGATGCATATGTAGAATAGAATCTTCAATTATATTTTTAAAAAGAGTCTTCATGGTCACACCACACATACTGAACTCACCTGAACTTCGGGAGGACCCATTTCACATGTTTGCTTGTTCACCAATCATCTGCTTGCCGTTCTTCTGTAAACAGAGGCATTCCTTTCTGAACCAGGTAGATCATTGATGAATCTGGTATTTTAGCATTCAGCAATAGATCTACAAATTATTAGAGTTTTTTTTTTTTTTGTTTTCCTAAAATGGCGGGCTTCTTTCACGTCTTGGAGATGGAGCACTAACGAACTCATCTGGCATTGCCGATGCAATTTCTGTGAGGCATAGCCACAGTACTCAGGTTCACCAAGGTGAGGCGTTGTCCAGTTCTGCTTCTTGTCCTGAGATAGCCAGTGGCAGGAATGCTCCAGAACCAACCTTCTTTCATGTTGGGATATGCTACATTACATTTTTATCCTTTCCTGAATCCATGGGACCACCTAAATTAGCCCTCTTTTTTTTTTAAGCAAGTTCTTGATTTTAACAAACGTAATTTTCAGTGAGAAGGTGAGAAGAGCTTCTGAGCTGCCTTCCTTTTTTATTCATCAACTGTCTTCTCTCTCATTCAATGAAGAGGATCTTGCACAATCGGAAACTGAAATTCAGTGCTACATCTTCTTTAATAACTCCACATTTCACAGGTCGGTCCTGATTTCATCGGTGGCTGAGACAGAGCACACTTGGGGACTGAGACAGGCTTCTTCCAGGCATCACTGGGTCAGTCTAGAGGTTACACTGTGTAGAGGTTATCTAGTCAGGGCCTTTGTTCCTGGGAGCCCTGACTTTCAGCTGACTGAGTTTTGTCTGGATCTGAGGACCCAATATTATCCACCTTGAAAACACGTGAATGTTCTATGATTTTACCGGAACCATTTCACTTAAGTTCTTGACTGGTTAAAAGCTTAGTGAAGTGTGGAGAGAGAGACTATGTTTAGACTCCTCTGAGCCAAAAGTTTAGGAAAAGAAGTTTTTCTTTGTTGTTGTGCTTTTTTTTTTTTTAATCCCAGCTGCTCTCTCTCTCATTAACATTAATAAGGACAGCTCTATTTTCTGTAAGAAAAGCAGAGACAACAAAGAGATCCAAGAATGAATCAGATTGCTATCAAAACAACCCCCACCAGGGGGGGCAGTGATCAGAAGAATGACCACATCCTCCGTCTGTCTTCACTGCCTCTGACCTCTCCCTTTCCTTTCTTCCTATGGGGTTGCCATGAGGGGAAAAAAAGAAGTAAAAGCCAGATGCCTAGTTAAATTTGAACTTCAGATGAACAAAGAGTAATATTTTAGTATACATCCCATGTAGTAGTATTTGGGACCTCTTCCATGGCTCGATGCCATGTGTAGTCTGTCCGTCACAAATTAGTGCTCTTATATATTCTCGTGGTTTCCATAAGCGATCTGTCCCTCATTTAAGTCACATTGTCCTCTATAGTCAGGATCTTCTTTGGTATCCCACAAGGCACCGTAAATACTGGCTTTTGTATTTGGGGGCCTATGGTAGTTCTCTCAGGTGTTTCTTCCTGAACGCCCCTGAGATCATCATACCTTTTTCTCCTCACCTGTGAGGTTATTGTCTCATGAACAATGACAGGGCTAAGCCCAGAGCCCTAAACGTAGTAAGCATGCCATATATTTTTGTGATTGATAAATGAACTGAAAGCAATTTGTTGTCTTCTTTGGAGTCAAATTCAGCAATCATGAGCTACTTACTTACATGCCAGGAATTAGCAGTAGTCTCTATCTTCCATGCTGTCCATCTCGAAAGTTAGATGAATTATTCTTCCCTTTCGGGGAGATAAGAGAAGAGAAGTAGGGGATCGGGCTGGGAGACGCCCCCAGACTTGTGAACGTGTATTATGGCACAGTCAAAAGGATGGTAATAAAGCTGTGCTTACATATAGAGAATCCTTTCAAAGGAATGGAATATTGACTCAAAGACTGGAGAGCTATCTTACCCATTGTATATTATTAACTTCCGTTGATTTCTCTAGTTTCAATTTCTTCTGTGACATCTTGGTGTTGTAGACACCTAGGTAGAGTGTTATAAAAATAAGAAAGAACTTTGAAAGCTCGTAGAATGATATAAATGACAACATATTCAACTCCTATTAAAAAGCTTCCCAGCATGCCGAGTAATGGTACACATCAGATAACAAGGTGCCTTTTATACACACTTGGTGCTTCTATTAATGATATTATTTAGATCTTCCTTTGTAAATGACACAGAGCAGACTTCAAACCTTAAAGATTAAGAGTTATGAATACCCTCTCTTGGCTCAGTGCTTTTCAAGTGTAAAATGCACTTAAGAATGAGCATATATTTAAACGTGTTTCCATGATGAGTTTTATGTCAGTGAGGCTTGCCCAAGACAGGCTTGTGAATATGGTCCTCACCTCTCCCTTTCTGAACCTTTTCCTCTGCTCTATGGCTCTCAACTGCCCACTCAGATTCCCTGCATCCTTTGGAGAGTGGATGGAGGCCAGGAAACTGCCCAGTACCTTGAAATCCCCCCATTGTGCATGTGAGCCCTGCTGAAAAAACGGCCCATCTGATTGTGGACAGAAATGACAGCAGATGAAATGGCTGCCAGACTCCCATTCTCCTCTAGTAAATAAACATCAACTTGCTGTCATAACCATCAACGAAAATCCATAACTTAATGTGGCTCTACTGTATTTTCAGCCTCCCTGGAGTTAGATTAGCAGAACAAAAGCTGAGCGTGAGAATTCATGTTAATTTCTTACCAGTTCTAACACCCTGAACATAAGAAAACAAAGTTCTTAAGAAAATAGATTATCATATATATGTGCTAAAACCTGAATACGATAATCCCAAAGCTCAAAATGTGATTGAAAAATGTTTTCTGGGATGCTTATGATGGTTGCTTAAGTCGTAAATCTTGGCTTCCGTATTGTGTACCTCTGATATCAAGTGAATTTCAGACCATTAGCCATTTGGTTAAAAATAAAGAGTATCGATTTTATCTGGAAGGAGACCAAATTAATTTTAAATACAGGTGCACTTCTTATTTTTATTATGAATATATGAGGAAACAAACTCACTGGATGAAGAGTTAAATAAATGTTTAAGGTTTATTCATTTTATTTTGCCAGATGATGCCTTGTAATGTCTTTATAGATTTCTTAATATTTCCCTTTGTTTCCTTTGAAAATTCTTTTATTGGGTGGTTGGGTTTCAGTGGGGAATGAGCCTAAGGATCAGAGAACTATGATGATTCTACATCATTCCTACCCAAGATAGAGGAATGCATTGGTTAACTCTGGTTTCATGGACCTCTGATCTGAGGAATAAAAACCCTACTAAAGTTACCATCAGGATTAGCTCTGTTCTTTTGACTAGCATTTTTATCTATCTGATTTGAATTCAAATGCATTATTAATATTTTTTTTCTTTTTAATATAGGTGGAGAACAGACCAAAATATTATGGAAGAGAGTACGTATCATGCTATTCTTTGTTTTAATAATGTAGTAAGTGTCATTTCATGTGTCATTGAAATAGTAAATATTAAATATCTTCTAATATTCAGTCTTCATCAAATGTCCATTGTGCAAATGTTTAATAATAAGGATAAACGTAATCAGACCCCTTTGTATTGAGTTTTCTTTAGAAGACTCGGGTGCGTGGCTGCCATTAATGTGGGAGGGATAGTATCTCTCGCTGTAGTTCTGAGTGCCTGGCAAGTATTTCAAACGTAAGGCAGCATTTTCCACGACTGAGGCTCTGTTCGTATTTTATTTCATTTTCTACCTTGATACTGTATAAACATTTAGAGCGTCAGAGATTGTAAACCACGTAGCTGACTTCTTTACTTCCACGTACCTCGGTAGAAGGCAATCTGGGAAAGTCACCTCATTTCCCTGTGGCCTCATAAAACCACAGTGATGACTTCTCTTGACTTGGATGTATTAGCCAAATTGCCTCGATCCCATAACGATGATTTCCACCCATTCTCCTCTTCCGTTCCATACTTGTGTTGTTTTACTTTCGCAGAAGCCTACGGTAGAGCAAATATGCACGCTGTAAAAAGAATTCCCAGTCTCAGGCTGCAGTGTGTGGAGCAGGTCACAAAGCACAGGCAGAGGCAGCCCACACAGGGGGCCAGCCCCCCAAGCTCTCCTGACACATCCAAACCTTCTTCTTCCATTGCCCATCAGAGCCTCATCTTCATGATGGGTGCCCCCCTTACATGTCCCAGCCTGGCAGCCACTTCCTGATGGCCACGGCTGCATTTCTGAACCCTCTTGCCAGCCTTGGGAATCCAGCCAGCACCCCTGGGAGACCCTCCTGGGAGCACCGGGCTCTGCCCTCACATCCTGACATCCCGAACATCTAACCTAGTTAGCTGTAGGATGGCTCTTTTTACTTCAGTATACTGATTTGGATGTTGTCTCCCAGAGAACGCAAGTAATAAAAGGGAGAGAGAGAGAGAGAGAGAGGAAAACCTATCATATACGTCTCAAATGGGACGCTTTTGCATGTGAATTCCAAAAGGATCTCTACTGTACAATTTCTCTGTTGCATGAAAGTTCTGTTGAATGACCTTTTAGTTACCGTTTTCCAGTCCCCAATCCACAAAGACTACATAGTGAGAAGACAGCAAAGAAACATTTTCTTTCTTTTTTTTAATGTTTTATTTCTGGGAGAGAGAGTGAGAGAGAGAGCGTGAGCAGGGGAGGGTCAGAGAGAGAGGGAGATACAGAATCTGAAGCAGGCTGCAGGCTCTGAGCTAGCTGTCAGCACGGAGCCCAACGTGGGGCTCGAACCCATGAACTGTGAGATCATGACCTGAGCCGAAGTCGGAGGCTCAACAGACTGAGCCACCCACGGGCCCCAAGAAACATTAACTACAAAAAAAAAAAAAAAAAAAAGAGAGAGAGAGAGAAACTGTTTTGTATTAGTTTTAAAACTTCAGATTCTGTGTTTCCCTTTCCTTTTTTTTTTTTTTTAAATGTTCATTTTTATTTTTGAGACAGAAAACGATAGAGCATGAGCGGGGTAGGGGCAGAGAGAGAGGGAGACACAGAATCCAAAATGGGCTTCTGACTCTGAGCTGTTAGCACAGAGCCTGACGCAGGGCTCGAACTCCTCAACCACGAGATCATGACCTGAGCCAAAGTCGAACGCTCAACCGACTGAGCTACCCAGGTGCCCCCCCCTTTCCTTTTTAAAAATAAAAGGTTTTTGTTCCCTTTCGAAAGTAATATATGCTCTCTTCAGGAAACACATATGCATGTTTTTTCCTACTAGGAATCACGAGAAACTGTTGCCAATGGATACCTTTAGGGGAAGAGAGTTTATACTCCGTCTTGTTTACATTTTCACCTCTTTTAACTTTTGAATTGGCCCCCTGTGCATAACTATTACTTTTATTCTTAAAACATTAATAAATTAATACCCACTCATTTGGAAAAATTAGGAAATACATAGATACGGAAGGTAGAGAACATTTACAACTCACCATTAAAAAGCCCTGCTGGGGGCGCCTGGGTGGCTTAGTCGGTTAAGCGTCCAACTTTCGCTTAGGTCATGATCTCGCGGTTCGTGGGTTCGAGCCCCGTGTCGGGCTCTGTGCTAACTGCCAGCTCAGAGCCTGGAGCCTATTTCGGAGTCTGTGTCTCCCTCTCTCTCTGACCCTCCCCTGCTCACACTGTCTCTCTCTCCCTCCTAGAAACAAATAAAAATATTAAAAACAAAAACAAAAACAAAAAAAACTCTGCTGACTCTCCCCTTCATCTCATCCCTTCTGGTCTTTTCCTACGCTTTCTGTCTACAAAGAGGGGATCATAAGATCTGTACGTCATGGATATTTTTAAACCCATGCATAAAGGGCATGATGAGCCACAACCTAGATTCACAGAACTGTCATTTTCTTCTTCTGAAGAATTCAGTTTAATTTGGTTCTTGACACTTGACATCCGCTTCCGGGCTGTTGCCTAAAAGTGTCAGGGGAGTTAAGGCTGCTTTCAGGCTAACTGCCTGGTTGGTCCCCCATCTGTTGATAGTGACCTGTGCCCCCCTGTGTGTGGGCCCTGCCCTGTGTGGTCACCCCCTCCCCTGCGCTGGCCCAGAACCGTGTCCTGGACGTCCCAGCCCTTGTCCTTTCTCACTCCAGTGTCTTCTGATGCCCAATGCCCCTCCTACCCTCTATCATGTCCCTGTCACCACACACACGTGCACACCCACGCTCTCTTGCACACCCACTCTCATACACACACTCATACACCCACGTGCTCTCTCACACATACTCTTATACACACACACTCATACCCATACATGCTTACTCTCTCTCATACACACACACACACACACACACACACATACATACTCTCTTTTTCATGGATACATCTCTCACACGCACACATACTCTCACACGCACTCATACACACACATGCTCTCTTGCTCTCACATATACAGTCTATCTCATACACACACCCTCTCATGCACGCACACATGCTCTCTGTCACACATTCTTATACACACACACACTCATACACACCCATGCTCTCTTTCTCTCACACACTCTCAGTCATACACACCCTCTCATGTGCGCGCGCGTGCACACACACACACACATTCTCTCTGTTGGGGGGGTGGGGGGGAACCTGTATTTACTTAAAGACAACAGAGAAAGTGGTCCAGTGCCTGCTTCTGGCTCCCAGGAGTCATGTGCACTCTATACACCTTAGACATTTGCCTCCCGAGTAAAGCAGTCATTGGCCAAACTGCGTTCTTTCTAGATAGGCTGTGTTTCCTACTTGCATGTGTATTACTTTTAAAATTGCAAAAAAATTATAATAATAAACGTTCTTTAAAAAGAAAAATACATACATTTAAAAAGACATATCCCTAAGCGATTGCTCTCAAAATTAAAAGAAATAGAACATCGATGACCTGAGAAGTGGTTCCAACAGCATCTTTAAGATATGTGGTCGCTACCCCCTCTTCATCCAAGTTGGGGGGCAGTAGGTTCTACGTGGCTCCGCCATCTTTTTTAGCCTCACTCTTTGTGGTGCATACTTTGTACGTGGTCTATGGAGAACGAAGATGGTCTGTCTCTCCTCAGGTTTCATGGGATCATCTCCCGGGAGCAGGCAGACGAGCTTCTCGGAGGCGTGGAGGGCGCCTACATTCTTCGAGAAAGCCAGCGCCAGCCAGGATGCTACACATTAGCTCTAAGGTGAACTTGATTTTGTCCATCGTTGCAGCTGCTTTTCAAGTGACTTTATTTTTTCCCTGTCTTTTTATTGTTGTAAAATATGCGTAACTTAAATTTGACCATCTTGGCCATGTTTAAGTGTACAGTTTGGTGGTGTTTTAAGTATATTTTTAATGTTACACAACCATCTCCACTATTGCATTTCCAGGACGTTTTCATCATCCCAAACAGAAATTCTGTACCCATAAACCGATCACTCCCCATTCCACACTACTTATTTTTTATTTTCGCTTTGTTTACAGAGTACCAGTAGCATATTAGAAGCTTGTACACTTTCTAGGCTACAGATGGTGTCAGTAGGATGGGCACTGAGGCTCTGTTTATGCACACACAGTAAACTGGAAAACGATCTAGAAATTGAGTGCTCCTATAGTCACTTCTGCCTGAAACTGAGCCAGCTGAGGGAGCGACGTGACTGCCTCAGTTAGTTCCCAGGACCTCTGTCACACGTCTTCGCCTCACGTTGTATACGTGCGCCTGGACTGACGTGGAGTTTGTCCATGGGGTTTTCTCAGGGATCCCATTGGCCCGTGGATCCCATTGACTCTCAGTGGCAGTCGTGATGCTCAGTGCTAGCAAGCCGTGGGAGCAGAGCCCTCATGAGCCTTTTACCACAAAAATCACAAAAACTGAAAAAAATCACAGTGCCCCAAATCATCGCATTTCCTGCGCTTTTGTAACCTTGATCGCATATGTGATCCCATTTGATCCTTATGGCAGTCCCATAAAGTTTGGGGAAAGCATCCAATTCCAGAATCGAATTGTCTTTGGGAAGCTCATTTGTGACCTCTTCGGAATTGGGAAGACCTTTCTCCACAGCAGGAGTGGTATCAACAGAAACATGCCCCAGGCCGGCCCACGATGGCGTATTCAGTGTGACATCTCAATGTCGTTGCTGTGGAATACTTTTCAAGTTGCACCTAGGGATGGCTTGAACATATCTTAGATGATGTCATTATGAGGAAGTACTTCAAAAGCTCATCAGCGCCCTAGGTTTACAAAGTATTTTCCTCTCCAGCCAGGGTGCTGGCGGTCCCAGCAGGGAACGAAGCAGGGGCTGTGAGATACAGGACCAAGGCCAAGAGGAGCAGCCAGTGCTAAAGGGGGAGAACCTTATAGGTCCCCCATTGGCCCCAGATCCCTAGGACCCCAACAATGGCAGTTCCAGCAGTGAGCTTCACCCAACTCCCCTCATCTCCCTTCCGTGGCACTAAGTAGTGTGGGAAGCATGAAGCGCTCTACTGGTGATGGTCAGAGATGTAATAAATAGGGGACATCAAGGACTTGTAGAGAGAATTGCCAGGTATAGGGTAGGGGTGGAGGGATGCGGCTAGTTTTCAACAAGGGAGTTTAAAAGCAAAATATTTGTAAACCAGACTCAACCCTCTGATTTTTACAAATGAGGATGATAAGGACTGAACAGCTTAGTGATTTCTAGGGTCAAATGACACATATGACTGCCTGGTGTTAAATCCCACCCTCACCTCTTTCCAGAGGTATACCTTCAAGCAGTTTCCCAATCTCTTCAAATCTTAGATTTCTTAGCCATAAAATGGGGATAATCATTTGGCCTGTCTCAAAGGCTCTCTATGATCATTAAGTGGGGAGGGGGCGGAAATCATGCCAAGTGCCTAGTTCAGCACCTGGCATAAGTACACACTCAAAAAAATGTTAGCTGCTACTGTTCTTCACTGCTTTTGCTTCTAACACTGTTGTGATTTCTCATTCTCTTGGGGACAGGTTTGGAAACCAGACTTTAAACTACAGGCTCTTCTATGACGGAAAACACTTTGTGGGCGAGAAGAGATTTGAATCGATTCACGATCTGGTCACAGATGGCCTAATAACACTGTACATCGAAACAAAAGCTTCTGAATACATTTCCAAAATGACAACCAACCCTATTTATGAACACATTGGATATGCCACTCTGCTCAGAGAAAAAGTATCCAGGAGGCTGAGCAGGTCGAAAAACGAATCAAGGAAAACAAGCGTCACAAATGAAGAACACGCAGCAGTTGAAAAGGTAAGCACCTCGGACAGAAACAGTGTCCGTTGTTAATCTATGCTGAATAACTGCGTGATTAATTGTGTATGCGATTGGCCAGAATGTTGGCAGAGACCACCCCCGCCCAAGGAAATCTTGAATTTTGTGCCAAAAGGAATCTTAGAAATCCTCCAGTCTAACTGAGGCTCGGAAATGCGGATTGATTTGCCCAAACTCAAAACAGTCAGAGCCAGGACTTCATAGATAACTACTTGTCATTTTTTTAATGCTTTGTGGTGAAAATAGTCCTTGGTTTCATCCTGCTTGAGGCCTTCCTGGCTGCATCTAGTTCCACCTAGCTATGCAAATACTCCATATTTCCATATTTGTGTCTGGTTCTCTTGGGGACGGGGCGACCATGTGTGATGCACAGGTCAGCCCTCCCCTGAAGGTGGCCCTACTTAGATAACAGGTTTTACTGTCAGAGATGGGAGCCATTATTGGTGATGATGGCTATCTCTGGGAGGCTTAAAAGACAGGCCTTCCTTTGCCCCAAGGGAAGAAGAGTTATCATGCCTCTCGGAGGATTAGAAATTTCTAAGTGGGCGATGTCAAGCTGGATGGGCGGAGGCAGGATGTGGCGAAGAAGATCTGATTTTCCTCTCCAGTAAGTTGCTGTTGATTTGAAAGATACCACCACAGTTTGCTAGCGGGTTTTTTGGAAGTGCCCATTTAGGAACCGTCTGCTTTGCCTGGGTTGTATCTGTTCTCCACTGAAAGAAAGTGACAGCCAGTCACACCAGTCAGCCCCCACAGAGTCTGTGTTGAGCCCACTCTCAAAGGCAAGCTTGGGCTGGGACAGATAGCAACAAGCAGAGCAGAGTGGTGGGCAGTGCTCCCTCTGGTGATTGCTAATCCTTATTAAACCGGACTGGCGCCCCCACTCTCCAAACAGTGGAACCTGATGGGCTGCCTTGGCTTTGGGACAGGGATGCACCAGAAATCACTGGAACAGCCCGGGGGTGGGGGAGGAGAGCAGAGGCAGACAGTGCTATCTTGTTGGGAGATGGGCATGATCTTAATTGATTTGCTGATTGAGTTTTAGAGCCTAGAAGAACCGTCCCCAGAAGCACATCAGCTGAGCAGCTGGCCCATGAAAAAATGATTTGCCATTTTCCTTTTTTATTATGCCAGTGTCTCCAAAGCACCTGTTATTCTTTTACAAATAATTGACTTGGGAAATGGTGGGTTTTCTGATTGTTTACATTTTACCAAGAGGGAGGGGGGGACTTGAGCCCTAACTCTCCGAGTTTGTTCTGGTCCAAGCAAAAGCCATTCCTTGGTTTGTTTGTAAAATCTGTTCAAAAGTAATTTAGAATAGAAAATCTGGAAGCTGACCTTCCCAGCCATGACAAATCAGAAGACAAATCATAAAATAAATCTCTGAAGCAGTGTTTATATTTCCGAGTCAGAGAGTAACACCTTCAAAAAGGCAATCTGTTACAACTGCTGGCTATCCACTAGAATATTTCCAGGAAGAGAGGTGAATAGACAGAGTATCTCTGTAAGTTTGGGATGAGAGTTTTGGTTCTGAGTATCTGAATTGATATTTCCTGAGTCTTGTCCTTCGCCAAGAGGGAAGTTTGTCCACGGGAAACTGATATTCCTAGAGGATATCCCCGTAAGGAACCTTGCATCACAAAATAGGTCCTTCATTGCACCTCATTTTTGTATTTATTTATTAAAATTAAATCTTAGAGGAAATTAATAATCAGGTTAATTATCACTTTAGATGAGCTTCCCAGTACACTTTTACCTTTCTAGGGAAAGGTAAATAAAGAAAACATGGAAAGAAAAAAGTAAAGAGTTTGATGGACAGGTGTTGGTGGTGTGGATTTTCTTGGACGCCAACGATGCAACGGTTGGCTTTCCTGGGGAAATTGGGATGCGTTGCGTCTGGTCACTTGCTAGAGGTCGCTCATTTTGTTAGAGTTTGTTAAGTAACTTGGTACAAATCCATCTTTTCCTCTCTGATCTGTATTGACAAGTGGAATTATTAAAAGTCTCAGTCTTGCCAGAAATCCTATTTCCCTTAAGGGCAGGTCAGTGGACTGTTGCCATGGAGGCAGAGAGAGACAGAGGTAGCAAAACCTTGAATGGATTGACTGAGAAGTGCCTGGGGCACCTGTCTGCTTCTATAATGGCGCGTCTTGAAGGTTTTCATGAGTGAAATGGGTAGGTTTCCTAATCATTCTCAAATCCAGACAGCCCAGCATTTCATTTTCCAGAGTGCTTAAACTTTGTTCACGCAGTTATTTTGTTGATCGTTTCCAAATGAATCCAGAAAGACCATGTTACCTGAAAACCCAAGAATATTATCGGTGTTAACTGGTGTAAAGATATTACCTACCGCATCAGGTTTGAGTGGTTTCTAGATTTATTTCCTATCAAGATGGTTAGCCGAGAACTTGATTTTAGTAACTGTAGATGAGGCGGGGAGGTGGGGGAGGGTACAAAAAGAGTGGTGGTAGTTAGCCACTAGCAATCCTTTCCTTTCTGATTCTTTACTTAATGAGTTTTAAAACATTATGATATAGGGGCGCCTGGGTGGCTTAGTCGGTTAAGCGTCCGACTTTCGCTTAGGTCATGATCTCGCGGTTCGTGAGTTCGAGCCCCGCGTCGGGCTCTGTGCTGACTGCCAGCTCAGAGCCTGGAGCCTGTTTCAGTCTGTGACTCCCTCTCTCTCTGACCCTCCCCTGCTCACGCTGTCTCTCTCTCTCTCCTAGAAATAAATAAAACATTAAAGAAAAAATTTTAAAACATTACGATATATAAGGGCCACCATTTGGTGCGTTTAATTAAGATGGTCAGGCCCAGTGTAATTTCTTTTATGAAATTTATTTTGAAATTGATGTACAGACTTGCAAGACCAGAACTGTGAGCAATAGAATAACAACAGTACTTAACATTGGCTCTGACATTTATAGTTTAGAAACCAACTTCAGGGCTCCTGGGTAGGTCAGTCAGTTAAGTATCTGACTCTTGATTCTGGCTCAGGTCATGATCTCACGGTTCGTGGGTTTGAGACCCCATGTCCAGCTCCATGCTGATAGCATGGAGCCTGCTTAGGATTCTCTGCCCCTCTCTCTGTCACTCCCCACTTGCACGAGAGCGCTCTCTCTCTCTCAAAAATAAATAAACATTAAAAAATATATAGTTATGGGGTGCCTGGGTGGCTCACTCGGTTAAGCATCAGACTTCGGCTCACGTCATGATCACACGGTTCGTGGGTTCAAGCCCCGTGTTGGGCTCTGTGCTGATGGCTAGCTCAGAGCCTGGAGCTGCTTCAGATTCTGTATCTCCCTCTCTCTCTGACTCTCCCCTATTCACGCTGTTTCTCTCTCTCTCAGAAATAAATAAAACATTAAAAAATACATATATATACAGTTTATAGGGGTGCCTGGGTGGCTCAGTTGATTAAGAATCCGACTTCAGCTTAGGTCATGATCTCTTGGTTTTTAGGTTCAAGCCCTGCGGTGGGCTCTTTGCTGACAGCTCAGAGCCTGGAGCCTGCTTCAGATTCTGTGTCTCCCTCTCTCTCTGTCCTTTCTCTGCTCATAGTCTGTCTTTCTCTCTCTCAAAAATAAATAAAAATCATTAATAGATATTAAAAAATATATAGTTTATAAACTAATTTCATATGTGAAGTAATTTCCCATTTTATCCTCAGAACAACTTCAAGTACATAGAGTAGCAATCATTGTCCCCATTTTACTGAAAAAGACAGAACAGCAGAGTGAGGAACCAACCTCAGATTTCTAAGCCCCAAGTTCAGAGTTTCTTAAACCTCCAGAGCAGTAAGGCCTCATTCTGTTCTTACTGCCCTGATTGCATTAAGCAAATCCTTGGTTGTCACCATGCTAAGTCAATTGATGCTAAGAATCATTCAATATTTACATGATCTGTTTTTAAAAATGTACCACTATTACTAGCTGTAATAACTAAGCTTTCTTATGAAGGATACTCTGCTGAATCAAATATCTGACCACAAATTTTCAACAGCACATGTTTATTCAATAAATTTGGCCAGCGGCATTAAATTGCATTTATGTTTTACTGGATAAAAATCTTCCATATTTTTGATAGAATAAAAGCACAGTTTAGAATATAGTATACCTTACCAGTTTATTCATTTCACTATTTTTTTTTATAATGGCCAATGTTAGGAAATAGCCTAAATGCCCATCACTTGGGGACCGCTTAGATGAATTAGGGAGCATCCATGTAAGGGTAAATCCTGCAATCACAGAAACGGGTAAGAATATTCATATGTGCTGATATGGAAAGATTCCCCGGAATTATTAAATGCAAAAAACAGCTTGCAGTATGGTGTGTGTGGTAAGGTTTCATTTGTGTAAACCAGGAGAAAACCGGTCTCCCATATGGTTTTTTTCTGGCAAAAGTATGAAGTATCCCTTGAAGCTACAAGAGTAAGTATCATTGGTTGCCTGTGGGGTGGGGAAGTGGGTATCCGAAGGGAAAAAGAGATTCTTCCCTGCTACTCTTTGAGACTCTCTGAATTTTGAACTGCGATCAGTACAGCGTCCTGTTCAAAAAATTAAATAAGAAAAAAAGAATGCAGTATGTTTTAAATTCACATATGTTAAAGCAAACCCTGAGTGAAACATCATCTTTTTTTTTTTTTTAAATGTTTTATTTATTTCTAGGAGAGAGAGAGAGAGAGACAGCGTGAGCAGGGGAGGGTCAGAGAGAGAGGGAGTCACAGACTCTGAAACAGGCTCCGGGCTCTGAGCTGGCAGTCAGCACAGAGCCCGACGCGGGGCTCGAACCCATGAACCACGAGATCATGACCTAAGTGAAAGTCGGACGCTTAACCGACTAGGCCACCCAGGCGCCCCGACATCTTCTGTACTCAAGGCATCACCTACACACATGCAGAGACAGAGAGCAAGCAGTTCCGGCCTCTGGACCCAGGCTGCTTTTTCCACCCTTGGCACGGGTCCCACCCCCATCCTGAT